AAGGGAGACAAAGAAGGGTCCGCATCTCCGCATTCCTATTCCGAGTGCGTGTCGGTATACCTGCGGCGCGCTCCGGCATCGAACGGAGACGGGTCATGTCTACAGGCTATAACATCAAAAGGGCTTCGAATTTTACTTTAAAACTTTGGCATCACATTTTCGAGATGTTATACTAACATTTTATGAAAAAAAAATTGAAAATTTTGAAGGTTGTAAATGCATTTCCCCCCTTAATCTTTCGCACGTATTGATATAAAACTTTACAACGTGTATTATAAGCGGCCAGCAATCTACGAGCTGTGGACTGCCAAAAAATAAAAAATTCAGTACATTAGAATTAGATCAAAAGAAATAAAATTATGAAAAAAAAATTTTCCATACTTTTACACATTTTGATCTAATGTCCTGAATTTTCTTGACTCTGGCATTTTCACAACCTGTAGATTGCTGGCAGCTTATGATGTTAATATATGTATATTAATATAGAATGAAATGAAGGCGAAAGACGACAAGTTACGATTGGTGAAGCAAATTTTAGTCGATGACAATGGCATTAATCCTGCAATAGCGTCCGCGTCGAAGGAAGTTCCAGAATTGACGACAAGAGTGATCAGTCCAGATAGAGATACCAGAATATCACGAAAGGTTACCTGTCGTGCAATTACTCTTTGGAATATCGTTGTGTCGTCTTGTATAAACTTGAAAATTCCTATAAAAGTTGGGACAAGGAAGGGAAAAAAAGTAACAGTTTTCTTACATGTAGGACAGAGTACCCGTTTCGAACCCGAGGTACAGACGATCACAAAGTGCTGACAGATGGATCGATCATAGGCCTCAGACTCTTGTGCCAGTCGGGACTGTACTGCAACCAGTGATACAAAGACGGCGAAGCGTAACGCAACTTACGTCGCCGAAAGAGATTACGGATGGCGCGTCTAGATATTGTCTTGTCGCGCAAGAGCTTGATACAGACGGAGAACTTGAAACAAAATTATACAAGGTTTCGCAATTTATGCATTTAGAGAATGCCATTGCCGGGTAATCTTTGCTAATGTATACAAGTTCTACAAACAACTTCCTTCTTTCAAACAGGGTGATATACTACCAACGAGTGGTGGCGGAGCACAGGTAGTATTTCATGATATGGAGTGTCTAAAACAATCGTCGCCGAAAGCAAGGAAACGCACTGGACCTCGAGAAGAGGGAATGGACCAAGTGGAAATTTCTACCTTGACGGAAACGAAAAGACCACGAGTATTACCCTCGTAAACTGAATGTATCATTCGTAACTTACTCTAAAGCACAACGGAAATGAGATATGCGATGTATCTTCCTTCGCACTATATATTATATAATTTTATTATTATTATATATATATTCTCTCTCCCCCTACTCTCACGTCCCCCCCTTTCATGTAAAAAGACTTGTGAGAGGCGATATATTTGATGTATGCACATTTATTCATTCTTGAAATCTAATCGAATTAGGCCTGGTTGCACCAACGTCGCTTAATTTTAACTTTAGCTTAATTCGCTCGTTGTCTCTTTCTAAGGGAAACAGAGAGAGAGAGAGAGAGACGAAGGGTGAATTAAGCTACAGTTAACGTTACGTGACGTTGGTGCAACCGGGCCTTAGTGATGTAATTTTATATCTTAAATCTCTATATCGCAATTATTTTTTTATTTATTTTTACAAGTTCCAAGATAAACGGCATTTGTACATCTGATGTTCATATGGGATGATTATTATAGAAACGTATGGCAATATATGGATATTATACAATATATTGATATATGTATACGTATACATACATACACACACGCACGTGTGTGTACACGCTACTATAGTCGTTAGCTATTTAAACGAGACACCGACGACTATAAAGATGAAATGCGATGTAAGTATAAAAATATATGTACAATTTCGGTGAAATGTCCGTGACGTTATTTAAATTGTAAAGATGTATGCGGGCGAAGGGACGGATCTGGCAATGAATTAGTACCCGAGGTATTTCTTCGCAAGTTTAAAAGGTGACCCTCGTGCTCCGAGCTATAACAATTGTATAATATGTAATTACAGTCGGGTGTATCTTTCGCATGTTCTTTCACTTGTAGCGTTGCTCTCGCAAACTTACCGGTTCACCAGATTTTCATTACTGTTTTCCTTTACGAACGTTACCAATCCGTACGATTTATGTTTATCCAATGTTCCGTTGTAAACTAGCAAGTCGTCCACTAGTATCTAGCAACAAAATGCAAATAATTTTAGCACATTTGGGCAAATTGGAGAATGATCAGCATACGCTAGAGTATTATCTATTGAAGCAATTTATTTCTCTTACCGCAAATTCTTTGACTCTCCTTTGTGGGGTCTTGCCATAATTCCAGATTTTGATCATTGACACCACAATGGGATGATAAAATATTAAATACACACGATTTGTCTGAGAAACGTATATCAGAAACACATGTCAAGTGGGGCGCGTGTGATAGAACATTAATCGACTGTTGTGCTGTTAATTTTCACTTACTTGGCCGGGAAGTATAGGAGCCAGCCAAGCATGCCGTCCATTTCGAGTGTCATTTGTTCCATCGATAAGTTTGTCCGGTGTACGAATATCGTTATCTATTCCTTCTATTATATTAACGCTTTCGGGAAATGCGGCTACATCTAGCAAAATATGATTGGCATTAGAGAGCTGCTGAAAAATATGCTTTTCTTTCTCCTCCCGTCCAAACTTTCGCATAAACTGAACATACTATCTGCGGTTAACGTGATCTCGGTTCCATGATTATCGTATATCTGTATCCCATTGAGACCGACGTAGTAAGAGTCTCCCCATGTAGAGAAAATCACTATTTGATACACGAATCCTCGCGGCATCGACGGAGCTTCGTAGTTTGAATCCAACGGCTCGAGTTCTAAACTTGCGAAGAAAAGTCGTGTACGACGCATATTTGTATATTGAATATTGTACCTGCGTCGCGCCCGCTTACACGCTGCCCTGTTGCTCTAACGTCTCTAATAAGATACGTACCTTCGGACGATTTGGTTGAGTCGGTAGCACCGTCCGGAACATGCTCTCGCGTAGGTGAATCGAGGAAACAGATTTCTTGGGCAAAATCATAATGGCAAGATCCCGGCGCGCGTCTCAACAGGAAGCCGTCGGAATTGTCGTCGTGTAACTGTTTGCCGTCCAATTTAATTAGCAGCTGTTTCACCTGTGCGAAGAGAATCTCTGGTTTAATAGGCCGTTGCGATTGTAAATTCTCATGTTGAGTGTATACTAATTGTCTAAGGAGTCTTACTCCACAATAGGATAACTCCAAGGATGCATTGTAATTCCAAATCCGCATTCCCGTTAGGTACACATCCGTATCGAAAGTGACCGTTATCACGATTCTCTTATCTGACGTCACGTCCGCTAGCCACATGCAATCCATTTCGGTCGTAACGTTGTGTCCATCGATCAGTCTCGTTAAATGCGTATCGACCACGTTACAATGCAAATTGCCGTTTACTATTGGGACCGCTGTACCCCGATCTCCGATGAATTCTATACCGGTCAGGCCTGCAAAGCCCCAAAAGTATCATCCTGATATCTGGCGCTGCTAATTTTCGTAGCGTTACACTTAATTTAATAATTCCAGTTTATTTACTTACCAACCAAATGCTGCAAGCCCCAATTGGAAATAATAATCAACTGAATCTCTCTACACGACAGAGCAGTAAGGGTGCTATCGTGAGTTTTACTATTGCTACATAAGCTAGGAGAATTGTCAATAGAATCGTTGCTTTTGCGTCTCGCCGAGGTAATCTAATAGGAAAAAGGAAGGAAGAAAATCACCCAACTCATTGCGTGGGTTTAATTTCTTAGTTATCACTGAACGAGCTACCCAAGTAGAACATATTAGTCGTGAAAACATCAAGATGACATAATTTTTTATGCATGGTGACGTCAAAATAGCCCACCGAGAGCACCTATTTGTCACACCATTAAGACATCAAGATGTTATAAAAATGATCTTGTTTTACAAAGTTAATTAAATATTATACATTAAAAATAGATTGAAGTAATATAAGATAAACATAATATATCACTGATTATGTAATCTGTAATATATTATTATACACATTACGAATATCATAAATCAGTCGTTGCAAAGTAAATCTTAATGTCGATCATTTTATGACGTAAAATTCATATCATTTTACTGCCACATTGACGCTTTTGTGATTAACTTGTTCTACTTGGGTAAACGGTAAAGTTATTACGAAATGTATACACGTGGCTCACTTACATTGTCATTGACCGTCGTTGCCGTAATCGGGCGAATTATTTCTTTCTCTTCGCAATCTGACGTCCCATTATTGAATTCTATGAACGTATTATCATGTTTTGATATCAATTCCAGAATATTTTCGTCCGTCGTAAATAATATAGTCTACATCAGCCAATAGTTTTGTGCATTACGTATAAGATTAATTTCGTATAAATTTGATTATTATGCGTGACAAAAGAAGTAGACTGAATAACGCTACGTGCTATAAGCGTATTAATTTAATAGATGACTATTAAATTAATAGTCTAACTAGACTAATAAATTAATGCTAACGTTTCTATAATATATTAAATGAATAACACAATTTGCGACAAAATCCCTTACATCTCCGAAAGAATCGAGGCTACCCATATCGTCCCCTGAAGCTTTCGCGATTTCTCCGCAAAAGATGACAATGTCATTCAATTTAATAACAATATCTTTGGCTCCTCTAAAGGAATGTATTCTGGATTTATTGTAGTTCTGCGAGAAGAAGAAGAAAATATGCATACGCTGCAAAGTGTGCAACCTGGCTCGCACGCACGCACATATGAATTATTTTATAAACAGTTATGAAATAGGTAAAGAATCCTACCCATATCCTGATCATAGCTACAGTAATCGTGAATTCAAATATCATGTAAACGTAATGATGGTCACCATTTGAATAAGGTGTTAGCCATAAATTTGCATCGTCTCTCGTTCGATTAATACCATTAATCAAGTTATCTATGACATGAGGATCACGATCGTTGTTCGGTGATTGATTCGCGCCTGTCGTGTGTGCACGTATCTCTTTAATTGTCGCTGGTTCTCCGGTGTTTGAAAAAATTTCAATACCATTGAGGCCTACGTAATGTTTATCACCCCAGGTGGAGAGAATGTCAATGACCAACGAGTCTCCGGACGGTAGCTCGGGAATAATGAAATTTTTGTAAAGTTTGTCTAGAAATAATGTAGACTGAGTTATTTGATTGATATTATTTGACAAGCGATTTAACAATATCTTAATCGGGATAAAAGCTCCGAGAGGTGAGAGAGAGTTTAAAAGAGTTTCTTGATACCGACCAGATAGTAATTTCGACTTTCCATCGTTCTGCGTGCTAAATGCGGAACAGTTTGGAAAATTGTCATCTGACCAGTGTAATCGTGTAGCTGCACGATTCGGGATTTCGTTTGGTGTTCCATGGTCAAAGTAAGATTCCTCTTGGCCGCAAATCTGATGGTAGCTATAATCTCTGGAGCTTGCTTGAGGCAAGTTTTGGAGCGTACCGTGCCTCTCCATCTGCTTCCTTTCCAAATACGCGTCCAACTGATGAAAATCACCCCTCGTACGAGAATGCTTTGCACTCACAAGGGCGGAACAGGCGCGCGTTCTTCTCCGCTTAACTTGCACTTGCTCATTCTTTGGTGTATTCGGCAGTGATTTGCTCGTAGACGGTTGTAATTTAATATTATCGCCGATATAAATGTCGCTTAAGCTTGCGCTAGGTTGATTATCTCTATAAAAATAGCAAAACCATATAACAATAATGTTATACATTACTATTGTATCACATTACTATCTACTCGTACATCTACTTGAGAAGATTGAGAAAAGATGCTGTTACAGGGTACACATAAATCTTACACATCGTCTTCTTCCATTTTCAAGGTGATATTCTTAAAATGGTGCTGGTCATCGATTAAAAGTGTTTCCATTTGCAGCGACTTGGCATCGTTATTAAGATCAATCTTTTTCATGTCGCTAATAGGAAGGATGAAAACAATGCGAGAGTAAGGAAGGGTAATCGATAATCCATTTTTGAAAAGGTGAAAAGTGACAATATGTAAAATAATAATACTCAGTCATCTCCAGCAACCACGATGGCATTTTAAGCGTGTCGGCAGCCAAGGGTGCAGTTTCACTCTCCTTCGTATTATATGTAACATCATCCATAGTTAATTTGCCAAGTGCCCTCGGTGCACCACAGCCCACACACTCTTGTGACGAGAAGAGGCACGCCGAATTGTGTGTGAATCACACATACAATCTGTTACTTTATCGAGACATTGTCAATTGCAATGTTTTCACGTTGGGAAAATGTAGGCATATTAATTTTCATAACTGCACAGATTCCAGATTGTTTAACAGTTTAACCAATATTCGAGACCGATAATAACTCCGGTCGGCGTCGGCATTGTTGCCCGTTGGCTCGTCCCCCGCGACTCCCCCGAGTGAGCCCGAGTCTCGCTTTGTTTGCTACATCGTTACCATAGAAGCCGTTCTGATATATTTATCATGCTTTAATGATTAACACGCACGCGCGCTACTCTTGACACTTGTACTATGACACAACAAGCCAGTTTTGCATGGTATTGGAATATTGGAAGAGAGGAACAATCTCTCTGGCCAATATATAATATTTTATTTCTCACTATTACAAGTATTACACTCATGTCGGGAAGTATATATGCTATATGTATAACAATGACAGCGATACTACACGTTACTCCACGATACTTTGGTCCACGAATTATTAAAAAAAAAAAGACAAGAAACAAACAGCGAGTGACTCGAGTAACTGATAATCACTTTGTACTTTGCTTCTTGCGATATCACGGTACATGAATACATTGCAAATTAATATCCTTACATCAAGACTCTCGTATTTTACATTGTCAGTACTGTACATTTTATACATGTGTGTGTATACACACACGCAACGCACGCACACACACAAGTATCACTATACATATTTTGAACAAATGTACAATTGATGCAAGCGAAGACAAACTTAATTTGTGTTTCGTTATATACGTTCACAAATGTATATCACGGACAAAACAAATTACTTTACGATGTAAAACGTATTGTAATATGACTGTTGCAACAAGTACTATAAAGATCTGATTTTATCTGTCTGTTACATATAATACCATTCCGAAATATCACATCGAGTAACAATAGAAGTAAGGCCATTGCTCAACATGTCATGTTTTAGAAAATACTCGATAACTGTTATGTGTATAGATGGTATTTTTTGCCTCTTCCTGACTACATATTTAATTATTTATAATTTTATATAGTAGAATCCAAATAATATCTATTTCTATTTTTCCGTTACAAAAATTCAAATGGCTTGTATTGGAAATCCCATGTTAGATAAGAAATGTAAATTAAGTCTAATTTTGGCACAACACATCTGCAAACAGAAAGACGCTTTAGTACAGATGCATGTTCAGTCACAACTTGATTTCTCTATTTCTTCGCTAAGCTAATCTACACTTTGTAAAGAGCCTAATATAGAGACTTTTATCAAACGTAGTATGTAGTATAAAACAAAATAATGTTTTTCCCAAAAATATTCTATGTATAATATTTTGTTGCATTTGGAAAAGTAGAGGCATGGTACAATTTTCTTTCTTACAATAATTTGGCAACGTTTACGAATGATGTCGAAACTAATGGATACACTAAATCGAACACGAAAGATACAATGTTCGCTATAAATGTATATTCAAAATTGTCATATAATTAGTCATGTACACACGACTGTTTTCTTTTTGTTTTAATAGACAACTGTTTTCTTTTAATAAATAACTGTTTTCTTTTTGTTTTAATAGACAACGTATTCATAATGCATATATACGAATGGAGTCTTGTATGGCCGTCAGGTACTTAAAAATCTTTTTTTCGCTTTCTCCTCACACACATTCAATCTCTTTTACATATTTACACACCGTACATGTATATACACACAATACACGGATATTCATTTATCGTTTACTCGGAATAATTATGAAAAAATATCTAGCTGTCTATCTAGCACAGACAGGTACGAATCACGGTCGAAAAATGAATTTGCTCTTATCAAAACCTCTGAATAGATATAAATTAAAGATAGATCTCCCTATCTTTAAGAAGATAAAAACAACAGTATACACAGTTTGCCCTTTAAAACTGCTATGTTTTAGAATCTTTATCATTTGGAAGAAATATGGTAGAAAATGGTGTACGCGACAACTCCTACAATTCCATGCGAGGCTTTAGTACATTAGATATACTGCCGGATGGTCCGAGAACGCTCGTCGAGTCTTCAGGAAATACGTGGTTCAGAATCGCATAGTAATGAAATCCAGCTGCCGCAGCCACGAAAAGATGCCAGATCGCGTGCGCGCAAGGTATGCGGCCGTCCGATTTGAAAAATACCAAGCCAAGAACGTATATCAGTCCGCCCAGTTTCAATTCCGTAATATTATAATAGTTGTACTGTAAAAATATCGATAAATCATTTAAGTAAGCCGATCGATCCTCGCAAAAATACACATTACAACCACGAGATGATTCGAAGCGAAATTACTTGAAATATATGTATACATCTTGCATGTTCTTTCTCACGTAGTGCGTTTCACGCGGATGGGAAATGTATGTTAAACATATCGTTACTTACAACATTGAGGATCGCGACGCTAGGTCCAATGCCCATGACCACGTAGAAAATAGTTTCGAGCATCTTGTATCTCTCGTGAAAGATTTGCTGGTAGAGGATACCCACTATAGCCATAATCCAGACGACATATCGCATCGCGAATAAAAGCTCATCGTCTGGGAAGTGTTCTATATTTAACCATGGAAAGTAACTGGCTGCTATGAAGATGTAAATCATGGCACGATCGCAACGATGCAACGCGTCTTTTAGTTGCCTAAAATATTAAGCGCAATGCCTAGAAATTCGCCTTCTTACCGGGTCACACAGGTGACAACAACAGGTGATCGAGGGAAGACAAAGAGAATTAATTAGGAATTTGAATAAGCAGTCAATCGATCATGAGTGGCGATGTGTTTTTAACACAGAAAATTTATTGCGAAAAATATTACCTCAGCCAGGGTTAGAACCTGAACCTCCCCACACGCTAGGCAGGTGTCTCAACCAAATCGACCACCGAAACTAATATTTTTCGCAATAAATTTTCTGTGTTCAAAATACATCGTCAGTCATGGTCGATTAACTGCTTAATCATGTTTAGTCATTTACTGGCGACGAATAATTCTCGATGTTAATTAGGAATTAATTAAATTAAATGTGTACCTATTGTGGTTGCAGTAGTGCACACTGTGGAAAAAAGTAGACACTGCAAAAACAAGGATCAAGGAAGTGCCGTATACGCAAGCGGAAACAAACTGGGCCCATGTCGCCGAACGCCGTACGAGCTCGATACCGCCAATTATCGATGGTACAACCCATATTCCATGAGTCGCCACATTTGCCATATGTTCAATGGGCGTAGGAGTGTACGCCTCGTTTGTGCATGCTCTCGGATTCATCCACTTTATCCTGCAAGTAGATTTGCATTTTGTTTGCGTCTCTTTCAAATTCCTCCTAAATTAACAATTGTAAATTCTCTCCTTTCAATCTTGTTGAAATTCCGTGGAAGAATTTCAACAAGACATTAATAAAGAGAGATTAAAAGTGATGGTACTTTACACATATAGAGGAAACTAACGTGAGATAGTAGGTTTTCAACGTCCAAAGCCCATCGCAAATCTTTTTTCGCAACGATTACACGATCTAACGATCAATTTGCCACTAAGGCTTTACTTCAAGGGTAATAAAATCGTGGTGAAACCAACAGATGACGTCTATTGATTTAGCAGAAACTCCGCTATCTCATATTAGGAGCCTCACCTCATAATCTCGGACTTTCCTCTTAAACACAGAGAAAAAGGTTTCTTTGGATTTAGTATTCCTATTTATTTGATCGAGATTTGTTTCATTGTAACAACATATGCTTATACAAAACGCTATTTGTTTGGATAAAAATTTAGTTGTTTCATTCAAACAATCTCTATTATTTGATAGATAAAAGACACTATTATTTCACAAGTAATATCTTTCAATTAAATAATTATATTATTTAGCCAGGCGCCTATAAAGCTCGGCGCTGCCACTAGATAGTCGCCGAACTCGTAAGTAAAATCACGGCGGCCAGACGTACAATAAGCGACCGCATCAGCAGACGTAGTCTAATCATCTAGTGGTCTATTCTTTATAGTTGAACATAGTGTACTAATTCAGTGCTTATCTTTCTTCTTCTAATGAAGAAAAAGTATGTACAGGGAAAAAGATTGTACATTTTTTCACATATTATCTATCAAACGATAATGTTGCTTGAATAATATCATTAGGTCACAGAGAATGTACCTTTTGTTTCAATATATTAGAAGATATATATTATTTCAAATTCAAACGATTTGTTTGCACCATTCCAAATATCAAAGCAGTCCGATACAACAAAATTGATTAAATCGAAAAGAAATCGTTCTCTCTGTGTAGTACTTCTTAATATACGATGCATGACAATTGAGTGAGGACTCTGCACTTACGCGATAGGAAACCGTTACATAAGAAATCATGGAACGCGTTACATAAAAGAAAAGAAGATTAGTTGTTGCGCGAATGATTATTTACTAGTCGAATCCAAACGCAAAGCAGATAATTAGATTGAGGAATTTTCAAATGTACCACTACATACGTTACGTCTAACATATTATATTACGTACTTGTGTAATACAGCACAGCTGCGCGATTAAAAGCGTAGTAAATGATAAAATGGTTATACATATAATTTCATAATTGTACATAATACATTCCTGCTAGCATAGACCCCATAAGCATTACGTGTCAAAGTATTACACATATATGTATTTATATGGTGCACATTGAGAAAAAGCCATCGAGAAAGTCACACGGTGTGTGAGATCTCAACTACTTTAAGGAGAGGAAACCTGTAATCAGGTGATCCAGGTGATCGAGATCATCTTGGGTAGAACTGGGTAGAACTGGGTAGAACTGGGTAGAACTGGGCAGAACTGGGTAGAACCGGGTAGAACGCCGCTCCAAGACGCAGAGATCCTCTTTCTACGCTCCTGTACAAGTTAGTGTGCTCCTAGTGGTTACGCTATGGAACGCTCAAGACTCTTTGGTACATGCATAAGTGTTCCATCTCAAAATTGTAAGCTAGGTTTCAAGTGGCGGCATATTAACGATTATTTTTGCAGGGTAAGGGTTAACGGCAAGACTCAACACTCGAACGGACTTAGATCTGATTAGATAACGATTACAGGATTAAAGTGCAAGTTTGTTTTTCTTATCGCCTATTGTGAGAAATGCAACTGGTCCTTTCTTTTGTACATAATTGCAGCTACCTGTACAGAAAAGAATTAAACTCTCAACTACTGCGGGCTATCGTGTATACATGCATAATTAAACGTACGTATTTATTAGCTCTTTAGTGGCCATCAAACCCGGCAGCAACTACTCTCACGGCTTTGCTATTAATAATAACATTATGACAATTATACCACACGTCACTCGGATCTCTCGTATACCACAAGATTGATACCGTGTCGATACCACATCATATATGTAGCGATTCATGCATGCATACAAATTACTCTGCGTATCAACAGATGCTACATGCCAAACGTCCAGATGAGGAATTCCAAGGATGCAAAAATGCAAAACTATAATGAGAACAAAGATTAAATCAGAGCAGAGCGGATAAGGTACTGGTGGGCTAGCAAGCTTTGAAAGGGACTCGCAATTCCGTTTCCGTTTGCTTGGATACGGAGGGAAAAACTGACTCGAGTCCCAAGTTTTGAATCCTAGATTTGTTTACACCGCGGCGGCTCGGAAACTGGCCGACTTTTTAAAGACTTTTCAAGTAGGGCATCTCAAAGTTTTGCGTGCGCAACAATGCGATTTCTTACTCTCTGATCCGTTGTAATTGAAGAAGATTTTTGATGGGTGCTGTGATAAACTGACGAAGACAGGCACCGTCCATGACGTTAGATCTTAATGGGGTAAGATTTAATCCCTGCCGGTAGAGAAACGGTCGATATTCTGATGTAGGGTGTTCGGCTAACGTGGCTAACGGCGGCATAACAGTCGCTGAGCCAGCTGCGTCTTCCATCGCATGTCGCCAGACCCGTAACGATTTACGTTCGGCATCGAGTGACGAGTGGGCGAGCTTGTCGTCGAACTTTCCGCCTCGGGGGACAATCGATGGACTCGCGCGTTCACCAGCACCGACCAAGGCCCACGCGAGAAAGCAACGAAGGGCGAACGCGCTTGAAACAGGCTCCGCGAATGCGCCCGCCCATTCACTTCTGCCGCCGATGCGAATGTTACTGACGGATGAAAATATCGAGTACCGCGAGCGCCAAACGCCGATCAAACGAGATCGGGGTCGGGACCGATACTGATCCAACCGAATCCGCTCCGCCAACGTCGACCGTCGACCGCGCCGTCGACGACGTCAGACAACGTCAGGAAACGTCAGACGTCAATCGGTCGGTCCGACCGGCACGACATCTTTCCTCGGGCGGGCCAATTAACCACGCGCTTGCGCAAAGCAGTGATGTCAGATTGGCCGCGTTTCTAGCGCATGCGCGTCGATTTGAGGCTCACCGAAGTACCTACTACGGACAAATAGGTGTATCGCTAGTCGCCCGTGAGAAATTTTCTTAAAGAAAATTAGAAGAAAATTTTTGGTACGGACAAGAGACCTTTTTGACAGCCACACATCTTTTTGCTTGTCTATAATATAACTATGTAAATTAATTATGTAAATAATATTACGTATTTTAATATATAAAGTAGATTAATTCAAGTCTCGTATCTGTGCCCATTATACGATATTACCAATACATCGCTGGTTACTGTCGCGCATGCGCGAAAAACGCGACCAGCCTGACATCGCTGGCGCGAAGACGTTCAACTCAAACGAGTTTTACGATACATTACCGATTGTAGAATCGATCGTAGAATTTGAACGCCGAATCAGCTGTATGTGATTTTGTGACATCTCGGTTTATTTTACACATGTAATTTATAATTGGTCTACGTTGGTACAAAGCGTTAAATGTAAAAAGACTGCCTATAATACACTTTCATTCTCATCGGTTAATCCAATTTACCTGAAATTATCGTGTGTGTGCCGATGGGAATGAAAGTGAGATGATAAAAAAGGAGACAATTGTCTGCAGCAAGTGGGACAATAGTTTGTACAATTTAACAAGTAGGTAAATATATAAATAACAAACAATTAGAAAATATGATCCGTCAACTTCTCTAATCCCATTTGTGTTACCTCGTTCTTCTTCTCATCCGAAAATAGCGAAGCATGCGACTGAAAAGAAAAATGCACGATAAGAATTGATACGCAGGCAGGTAAAAATAGGTATATACGTACACTGGCTTGTATAAAGATACGTATGCCAACTTACATTCTGTGGGTCTTTATTCTGGCACTGTACAGCGTCACAGCCACAGTCGGCGCAGGCAACGCCATTCTTACGACACGTGCATATTCGCGTGGCACATTTCGTTTTACAAGCGCATCTTATCAGGCTCCCATTCGGTTCAAATTTAAAGGTTAATCGTTGAATCGAGAGTTTCGATTTGTTCTAACAAGAGAAGATCAACAGCTTTATACGTTTCGTACTTGACTTTATGTTAGAGACGAAAGATATTTACAATGCTCGTAACACTTATCGTAAACATGGTAACACTCTAAAATTCACCTGCATCTTTTGTATGCGATTGTACAGCGGTGTCTTCTTCCAATCTGGATCTTTATCGATATCGTCCTCTATCATTGAACTCTCATCGGGCGACAAGTAAGCGTTCTCATCGATTACCTCTGTGCTACCTTCCCCCCTTCTTTTCTTAGGCAACGGTTTGTTCGCTCTATTCAAATTGTTCTCCAAGACCTAAAACGCACAACAACTATAAGTTTTCATCCTGTTGTATATGGGATGCATATCGGTTACATACGTAGCTCACGCGGAACTGATTTAATCGTTACCTGTCTTTTGGATTTTGTCAAAGATTTTGTCTCAGCATCGCTGGAGGACGTATCGGACGAAGATATCGTATTTACTCTTCCACATTCCTTTAGCCGTTTCTCATATTTTTCTAGCCGTTTTTCATATTCTTCTAGCCGTACTTCTAAATCCTGATTCTTTTCCTAAAACAAGCCACCAAATTGTAACGAATCCCTCGTTAGTGTAACAAACTCGATCAAGTTCGTATACTACTTTTTATAGATTAACAATACAAAAATTTCCCTACAGTTTACAGTCTACAGTCGTGAGACATGTGTATATACTAACTTTCAATTGGTCATACTTGTAACACTGCTGCTTCCTGTCCTGCGTAACTATCTGGAACACCGTTTCAAGCCCCACCTTGGCGTCCGCTGTCGTGCGTATTACGTTCCACCTGGTGCTTGACCTAGTTTCTGAAGAAAAAGAATTCAGCATTATGCCAACCTTACTTACCTTTACGCTATAATTTGACGAGATTAAATCTCACCTTGATCGGACTCGAGAATCTTTTGTTGCAGATCTGCAATTTGTGCGTTACGCAGCTGTATGAATTCGGTAATAGTCGCAAGCTCTCCCTCATCCGGATTGCCATTGCTCTTTTCAAGCTGCTCCAACTGATGTACCCAGGAAGCTCTATCCTGCATCAGTTTCTCAAGGGAATAATCCATTTCTACGGTCGCCGTTAACACTTCCAATTCTTGAGCCACCCAAGTTTTTATCTCCTCTCTGTTGTTAGCCGCCTTCTTATCCTGCCGCTGCATCGCCTTTTTTTGCATCTCCAATGCACCCTGCATTTAAATCGCAGGGGCTGGCTTATAACGAGAGCGCAAATAACAAAAGGCTTGTTTTATCAACAAGCAAATCACTAGTAAGAAACGTACCTTTAATCTTTTGTTAACCGCAAAGGCCTCCTCCATTTTTCTCTTAAAGACGTTCTCCTGTTTATTGTGTTCTATTTTCATGCGCACCATTTCGCAATCGCGCTTACGATCCTGCGCTTTCAGTTTATTGATTTCTTTCTCCTTGAATTGCTTCCACTTTGTAAAATTGTTCGCATCGTTGCGCATCTGCCTGATAAGCTTGACTCGGGTCTCCTTTAGCAATTGTATCTCACGGGAAAGAGTTTTAATCTTCTGATCCTGCTTCTCCTTCCCCTTGATTATCTTGTTCTGTTCTACGCACTTGCGCGTCAACTCCGCTATCCGTTTCTCAAGTTCTTGCACCTTTTTGCGACGCGTCTCAGCCAATCTGCGCAAAGAGGAGATTCCCAAGAGAATAGAGTGAAGGCTCAAAGGGCCACCAATTGCAAATCATGCAAATCAAGCGAGTATAATTGTCAACTTACTTGGAGCTGATGTTGTGCGTGTGAACCACTTGTAAATGTTCCTCCTTTTCCGCATGTAGTCGTTTAATTTCTTGTTCCATCTCTACGACATTCCTATTGCTTTCCGCAGTTTGTTGCGTGACGCTCTTTAAGAGCTCCGACACGAGGCTCTCTTTCAGCGCCAGTTCCTTGTTAATATTTTGAACCTCGTTATTTCGCTCTGCTTGTCGCAACGTGTGCTCCTCTTCCTTTTTGTCAAAGTAATCCAAACTGTCCTCGACACCGTTCGAGGATGCCTCTGCGCGTACACATTCCTCTACATTCTCCGCCATGTGGGCGCCGCAATTTTTCGAGTTGGATATTTCGTGATTTAGGAGCTGTTCGGACGCTTTCCTCTCGTCATTTTGGATATCTGTGAGCAATGTAGCAAAAGTAGTAAGAGGTAAAAGTTACAGACTTAGCAAAGTTATAGTTTATAGTCTGCGACTGCAAACACGTGCAAATAATTGACCCATAATTAATTCGCATAGAAAAGCTCCCTCTCTTTCTCTCTTACCCAACATCTTGTCGTACATCGCCTTCAATTTATTACACTGTTCGTCATCGATGTCTGGACAAGTGCTGAAATCTTGTAAAACCTGGCTGAATTCATCCAATAATAACGCCAAAGCGAGTCTGATTTTCTCCCGAGCTTGTTCAGCCATTTCCGCTCGTTCGTGCATAACTACGAACTCTTCTAAATTCGAGTTCAACTTTTCCGTCATGTCTCTAAGCTTTTGCTGCAGTAGACGGTATTTCTCCTCGAGCGCCTCGTGCTCCTTGGGACACGTTACACCGAGTTCCTGATTCATAAGGGCCAGCCGCAGTTCCTGAATCAATTTGTTCAACCGATTGATCTCGGCCACCTTCGGATCTTGATTCACAATCGGCTTGTTCTTTATCTTGCGCGCGCGATCCGCATATCTCAACGTACTAAGAGTTTCATCCAAGTTGTAATCTACAAACAGATATGTTTCATAAGCGAACCAGGTGTGTACCAACGCAGTACCAAATACCAACGAATAAGACTATTATTATCTGGTGGCGACCGTAGGCGCAATGAGTCGAGCGCTTTCCTAGCGAGCCAAAGATCCCAGTTCAAATTCCCCCGACTACTGTCAATTTTTATTCTGTTTATCCCCCCCCCCCCCTCCCTCATCGGTCGCCACGACTCGGTGAAAACCCGCTACACTCTCTGTCTACATGTAAGAGAGAATGTAGGAGCGAAAATACCAACCGGCGGGACTGACACAGGCAACCATAAGAGTCATCGAGTTGCCACCCAAGGAATCTTGTAACAACCTCGTAAGTTTACTGTCTCTGTATCCGATATAAGTCCCAGGGGCACCGTCACCGAGCTGCGATATAACATTGCCCAAGGCCAGCAGCCCCTTGTTTATATTTACACCTTCTTTGAACCGTTCTCCGGTGGCTTGGGTTTTTTTACTACGCTCGGATCCGGCTAAATCAACCAGGTGAAATTTTGCCACTATCGCTGTGTTCCTATTTGAAAATGTCCACGTTTCGTTATCGGAAACTTGAGAAGATGGGCGGTCGAGCCGAGGAGACGGAAAGTTACTTACGGATCGTCCCTTTTTTGCTGGCTTATGCATAACGTAAATATCGCGTGGCTACGACTACTGTGCGCGTTCATCGCGGTCGCCCCTGTCACGCGACCCATAGAACCTTGAGTCAGGCACTCCAGCGTCTCTTTAGCATTCGCGACTTCTTTCTCGGTTACGCCGACAATTTTTATGCTCTTACTGTCCTCTCTGATGTCTACGATGGATTGGCTCTTCTGCTTGTCGGACAGGAGGTCGTACAATTGTTCTTGATACAATTCCATGAACGAGACTGCAACTTTGAAGCTCCAGTCTGTCTTGGATTCGATCGTTTTAAATATGTCGCACACAATTCTCGGTATAATACCCTTCTCCTCCACACCTGTGTAATTGGTACCCATGGAATAGGTTTTGCCACTTCCAGTCTGCCCATATGCCAATATCGTAACGTTGTAGCCTGCAAAAGAAACCGTCGACGTGAGGCGCAGGGTACACTTGGGGGCAAACCACGCAGGAGTAAAGGACTCACCTTGGAAAGTGTTGTCCAGAAGTCGTTTAATTGCCGTGTTATAGAAATCTTCTTGTCCAACGTAAGGAGGGAACACATAATTGTACGTGAACGCTTTGTCGGTATTAGAGATGCGAACTTGCTGCTCTCCGGGCACCGTGTCCAAGCACACCTGGCATCCTTTCGCCAGCTCGCTCTCCACCAACGGACGGATACGTAGAGCGACGCGAACAGTATCGTCGCACATCTGCAACAGCGATGTATCCGGATTTTTCAAGGGCGCCGAGGTCTCCGACTCCCGTTGTTCGTGAAACGAAACGAAACGAAACGAAACCCGTTTGGGGCCGGAAGAGAGGGAGGCGGGTCACGTCGGTGTCGCGAGACATCGTGTTGATTTTTTCCGAAGGGGAGACGCAGCGACGATTATCCAAGGTTGCGGTCAAGCTGCCGCTACAAATGCTCCCAAGTATTTCTCTTCTCTTTCTATCTTTGCCGAAAGAAAGGAGAAAAAGAGTGCTTGGAAGTATTTGAAGCGACAACTTGACCGCTGCCTAAATCGCCTTCTTGTAACCGCGTCGAAAAAAAGGGAACGTTAGCGTGTTTACCTTCAATCTCTCTCGACCCGAGGAAACGGAGTCGGATCAGTCGGAACAGTTGGAGGCCTACCGCTGCGCGCACACAGATCCCCCCGGGGGCTTGGGACTTTCTGCGACTCCCGATCTCCCGGCTGGTGCAGGCCGTCGACACGGTCAGTACGCACAGATCGGCGAAGTCGCGGGGAAGACACAAGTCGCACAAGGCGCAAGGTGCCGACTGCGAAGAGACGTTAAATTTCAAACACACCCGACAATGAAGAAGGGGGGGCGCGTAACTATGGGAACGGGTCGTTCGTAGCCAATCCCGAGTCCCGATGGGAAATCCGTCCGCGCGCAGACGCGCAGTCTCAAGCTAGGAACTTTGGTAATTGCCCCTATATAGGGACCTTGGCGACGTGCCGGCACTGCGGCGGTCCACGGCGATTATCACGTTTGATCACGTTGGAGAGATAAGATCGGATGAGATCGTGATTGATTTGGATTGATTA